TTTATTGGTACAGTTAAGCTCTATATAAATTATACAGTGAATAGCAACTGTACCAATGACAATGAAAAATTGTCGATAACTTAAACTGACATAACTTTGTAAAAGATCATATAACGATTTTATTTACATGTATGCGACTTTTACTTTGACAGCGCGGTAAATTTGCTTCTTTCAAAGATGATTTTAAATCGTGCAATGAGCGGGAAAGTGAGAATACTTTTTTTCGAAAATTGTCAAATTTTTTACTGTCATTGGTACAGTTAAGCTCTCCATTGTAATAATAATTATATAATATATATTAATTACAAAATATATATAATTATGACAAGTTATAATTCTATTACACGAATAACACTGTAATTATAGATTTTCTATTCCTTGCTACATACGTGTATTAATTGTGTAATAGAGTTTTCTAAAATCCGTGTTCCCGATTGACAAACATATTGAGAACATTGTCGATATTTTCAGCTCAGTCTCGTTTTGATTGGCAAATTAATGAAACGTCGAAACCGTCCTTCTTCTCCCACTTTAAAATATCCGAGATTCGACGGGATACTGTCCGAACCGTTCGAACGACGAAAATTAGAAAGTCAAATGCGAAAAGAACAAACGAGATTAGAAATTTTTCAGACAGGAGGGGGCCATCGGTTACCGGAGCGCGAAGATGAAAACGCCAGATACAGCGACGACTCCCCTTGAGATCCTAACATCTTCATATTATCTCTCTTCTGTCTCTCGACTCAATCTATCGAGAGTTCCACTTAGATTCCATTAGATTTATTTATAGAGGCTTACGCGAATCGCGCGGTGAAATTTCTCCGTCGTCGTCGTCGTCGTCCGCTTAGCGAGAAGGTTCAAGGTTCGCGGAGACAACAATAACTGTCGACCAGATGGTTAGGCACGATGGTCGGCTACCCATCGGTGAGAAAATGAGAGAAAAGGAAAGAAGATGAACGAAGGATCATTAAGCAAATCGTTCTTTGGAACTGTGCACCCATGAATTATTCATGCATTGTTCTTCTCGATTATTATTCCCTCGAAAACGGATGGAAAGTGAAACCTCCGACGTCTCAAGTTCATCGACGCTGCATTCTGGAGTAGGTAGAATGCTTGTCGATGAACATGGTTCGAATGGTGCCGAGTCGAGTTTGATACTCGAATTTCGAATTTTTTGAGAAATATAGCGCCTCACGAAATTATTCGAACACTTGGAAGAAAGTATGTATTTATATATATTTGAAATTTCTGATTAACGGAGAGGCGATTGTCAGTGTTATACCGTTTGAAGTTTGAAACGAATCTGAAGATACGTATATTACGACGAACTTACAGAGACCTTTGTGGCAAATATTACACGAGTAATTGCAGCAATTCGTGTTAATCGCATAGCAACATTAGTACAAACAAATAATCGCACGAATAAGTATATGATATATATTAAACATAGTATTGATTTTACAATGCTAATTAATAATATATTGTATTAATATGGATTTTATAATGTCTGGGAAATGTGTATATACTCGTAACTTTATTAATTATATATATATATATATATATATATATAT